ACGAAAGAGGGGGAGGCCTTCAACGAGATGGATTGACACGGTGGCTGCAATGATGGGCTCAAGTATAGCAGGGATTGTGGGGCTGGCGCGGGATCAGGCAGTGTTTCATTCTGCTGTGTGTGGGGTCGCTATGAGTCGGAAACGACTCGATGGCACTTAACAACAACAACAACAGAGTTTCTGTTGGTTTAGACTGACAGGGACCAGACGTTTCTTTCTGACAACTGGCTACTCATCCCATGGTGTGACCCACTTTTCCCACCATTGTCCTATGAGTCCCCGTGCATGGGTGTCTGGGTCCTCAGGCTCCCTGTGTTTGTCTTGTGCACCAGCAACACCCCCACAGTTGTCTGGAATCTCCTGGCTCTTGAGTGTTCTGGATGAATCTTTGAATCTTACTTGCCCTCTGCCACAGGAGTTTGCATGGGATGCAGTTGGAGCTTCTGGATTGCATTTAGGAAGATGGACATGTTGGTAATAGAGTCTTTACCAGCCACGAAGCTTACCTGCATTTGTCCAAGCCTGCTTTTTCTATGTGCAGGGGCGCCGGTGGTGCAGTTAGTAAAGCATTTGGTGCTAACCCAGAGGTTGGTAGTTTGAACCCACCAGCCACTCCATGGTAGAAAGATGAGGCAGTCTGCTTCTGTAAAGATTGACAGCCTTGAGGGCCCTCTGGGCCAGGTGTGCCGTGTCCTCTGGGGGGTGCTGTGAGTCGGAATCGACTTGAAGGCAGTGGGTTTCGGTTTTTGCCTTTCATGTTCTTCCTTTTAATTTAGTAGTCACCTTCGTCTGGATTCTGCATATTTCTTGGTAAGTTTATTTCTAAGAAGTTTTGTTTTTATTCCCTCACTGATGTAATTTTTATATTTTCCAACTAATCTTTCTCTATAGGAAAACTTGATTTTTTTTTATGAGATCAGTGGCTGACAAATTTGCTGAGACTTGAGAATGGCTCAGATGCGCTTCATTACCATTGTTTAGTAAGGATATGCCAAGTGAATGCTTAGCATCCTCTTCCTCGAATTTAAAAATTAATACACGTGAAAACAAATTCTGGAGTCATATTATTGAACCTGGTAGCCACTAGTCATGTGTGGCTGTTGAAATTTGCATGTATTAACGCTGAGTCCAATCTGAGATCCAGTTCCTTGGCTACACCATTTCCAGTGGCTTCCAGAAGGGACACCACGGAGAGTCCCGTTGGATTGGCCCAGCCTGGAAGGATGTAAGCATAGCCGCTCTCCAGTTGCCTGCTTGTCCTTGGGCCTAGCCTGCTGCTTTGCTGACTCCTGGCTCTTGCTCTTCTGGGGGGCACTGGGCCACTTGAGCAATATGCTGACACTTGGTCCTGATTTGTCAGCCTGCAGAGGTTGCCTTTGTAACCAGCCCTGAGGTTGAGAGAAAGGACTGCTGGTGTGGAACAAGGGAGCTGCTGGCCACCCTAGAGTGGCCTTGGCGTCATGCTGGCCTGACGGGGTGGGGGCAGGGACATGCCATTTAAATGCTTCTTTCAGCATCCTGTGTGAGGTGAGCAAAGAAACAGGGCCACTGGTGGAAGGGAGGTGAGATGAAGTTAGGGGAAATGGGGTTCAGTTGAGTTGCTAGAGTGTGGAGGCATGGTGGGGGCAACATGACTGTCAGGCACTGTCCAGAGATAGTAAGGGGCCCGGCAGGCGGAGAAGGAGGGTACAAGGGCATGGGTGGATGAGGGAGCCTGGCTGTCTCTTCTCAGCGCGGAGACCCAGGGTGACAGCTGTGACACACACAGACTCCAGGCAGAATGGCGCATCTTCCAGGAGTGGAGTGGGGTTGTAGAGCAGTGTCAGCCTCCCACATGGTGCATCTTCCAGGAGTGGGGCGGGGTTGTAGAGCAGTGTCAGCCTCCCGGCTGCCCTCCAAAAGGGGTCCTGTCAGCTCAGGTTGTGTTGGGGGGGGGGGCACTGCATTTGGGTTTTGTTTTGCGTGTTTGACTGCTGTATTGACTTTTTGTTGTCCTGCCTTGTTGTTTGACATCAGAGTGTATTTGCTTGGGAACACGAGGGGAGGGACAGCTAGGGAGTGAGCCCTAATGGGGTAGGGCTGCCAGATGAGGAGGGCAGGCTTGAGGGACCATGGGGTCTGCAAGGGAGAAGAAGGGGGGCTCGCAGGGAGAGCATCTGAGGAGGGCCTGGAGGATGGTCCCTCCCGCATCAGCCAGGTCCCACATCTGACCCATGGGGGTGGGCAGTAGATAAAGAAGCCAGAGCGCTCCGTGCGTCACCGGGACGTGATGTGACCAGGAGGTGATGGGCATGGTGGAGGGAGAGAACATGAAGCTGGGGGGCATCTCCTCTGGGTGTAAAGGGGGTCACCCTGAGATGGTGGCCATTCCAAGCCCCAGGGGACAAATGGGCGTGGGGCATGGATGCAGTCCCACCTGCTGCTGGGCGGCAGGGGATGGCAACTCTGCTCTTACTCTCTGTACTGACGTCCTTCTGAAATAAACAGCTGTTTGTGTGATTTTAAAATTGTGTGGCTGGGCCAGTGCCGTGGCAGGCAGCATGAAGGTCTGCTCCTGTCACAGAGGTACTCTCTGCTCCTGCTTCCCACGAGGCCAGCCTCACACTCCATCCTCTGCCAGGGCACTGTGGTGGTCCCACCTTCCCTCCCCTGGCAGAGCCCCTGCCCCCCACTTCTGTTGTCTTCACAACCGGGTCAAATCCCACTTTGTTCTGTGGAGCTCCCCAAAACCAGTTTCTGAGTGTGTTTTAGAGCATTTTTCACAGCTTGCTCTGACTGAGCTGCTCCTGCCCTGGGTCCCCCTTAGCTGAAGAATCCTGCAGGCAGGAGCAGCCCACAGGCCATTGTGTAAGCTGGCGGTGTCTGGACGTGACACATCATCTGAGGGGCAAGCCCCATAGTAGCTGCAACTGCTTGAGACAGCCGTGAAGCTGCAGCGGCAAAGCATGTGTTTTACCGCTTTATCCTCACTGTTTACGCGGCACTTGGTGCTTTTCAGGTGGAAGCAGTCTCTGACAGGTGGGAAGATGATGGCAGGAAGACCAACAAAGGGCTGGCAGACTCCAGTACACGTCTTCTGATTGGCTGTGTCACTTCGCTGACGGATGGCGCCGGCTACATCAACCAGACCACGTACTTTCCTCCGGAGAGTTTGTGCGAAGGTAGGTTGGATGGATGTCTTCCCCGTTTCTCGTTAGCGCTGCTGTCTTTTTGAAGTGTTACGGTTGGCTCTGCGGTGCTTGTGCATGTCATTTTCAGGGCCAGGTGTGAGTGCTCTGCATGCTGAGAGGTCCTTGGTCCCAGTACTGCTCCAGGCACTGCCTCCAAGCCAGGCTCCTCAGGGTCTGCAGGACTCTGGAGAGGAGGGACATCTGCTCTTGTCTGTGCTTGTTTGTGGAGAGCAGTCACAGATTTCTGGGTAGTTTTTCTGGGGCCTGGGCCTGGAATCTGTCCACCCTTTACCACTGCTGGGTTTTCAAACTCAGTTTGCAGCAGTATTGATAATAACGTGCCTTCAACAGACTGACCTTCCAGAATCTGTACTTGGATTCCATGAGTTGAAAGAAAAACAGTCAAACCATAATTCAAGTGTGTTTAAAGTATCTGCTCTGGCTGTAAGGAGCTCTGGTGGCACGGTGCCTACAGTATCTGATGCTAACCAGAAGGTTGACAGTTGAAACCCACCAGCCATGGTGCATTGGGCTGTGCATAGTGTGTTTCAAGTATCTGCTCTGGTTGTATGGTGTGTTGTACTGTGCACAGTGTATTTCAAGTATGCACTTTGATTGCA